CGTGGGCCTTTACTTGTATTGTGTAGCTGAACACACAGATAGTAGGCTTAGAGTTAGAGTAACGTGGGTCTTTACTTGTATTGTGTAGCTGAACACACAGATAGCAGGCTTAGAGTTAGAGTAACGTGGGTCTTTACTTGTATTGTGTAGCTGAACACACAGATAGTAGGCTTAGAGTAACGTGGGCCTTTACTTGTATTGTGTAGCTGAACACACAGATAGTAGGCTTAGAGTAACGTGGGCCTTTACTTGTATTGTGTAGCTGAACACACAGATAGTAGGCTTATAGTTAGAGTAACGTGGACCTTTACTTGTATTGTGTAGCTGAACACACAGATAGTAGGCTTATAGTTAGAGTAACGTGGGCCTTTACTTGTATTGTGTAGCTGAACACACAGATAGTAGGCTTATAGTTAGAGTAACGTGGGCCTTTACTTGTATTGTGTAGCTGAACACATAGATAGTAGGCTTATAGTTAGAGTAACGTGGGCCTTTACTTGTATTGTGTAGCTGAACACACAGATAGTAGGCTTAGAGTAACGTGGGCCTTAAGTTGTATTATGTAGCTGAACACATAGATAGTAGGCTTAGAGTAACGTGTGTCTTTACTTGTATTGTGTAGCTGAACACACAGATAGTAGGCTTAGAGTTTTAGTAACGTGGGTCTTTACTTGTATTGTGTAGCTGAACACACAGATAGTAGGCTTAGAGTAACGTGGGCCTTTACTTGTATTGTGTAGCTGAACACACAGATAGTAGGCTTAGAGTTAGAGTAACGTGGACCTTTACTTGTATTGTGTAGCTGAACACACAGATAGTAGGCTTAGAGTTAGAGTAACGTGGGCCTTTACTTGTATTGTGTAGCTGAACACACAGATAGTAGGCTTAGAGTTAGAGTAACGTGGGCCTTTACTTGTATTGTGTAGCTGAACACACAGATAGTAGGCTTAGAGTAACGTGGGCCTTTACTTGTATTGTGTAGCTGAACACACAGATAGTAGGCTTAGAGTAACGTGGGCCTTTACTTGTATTGTGTAGCTGAACACACAGATAGTAGGCTTAGAGTAACGTGGGCCTTTACTTGTATTGTGTAGCTGAACACACAGATAGTAGGCTTAGAGTAACGTGGGTCTTTACTTGTATTGTGTAGCTGAACACACAGATAGTAGGCTTAGAGTAACGTGGGCCTTTACTTGTATTGTGTAGCTGAACACACAGATAGTAGGCTTAGAGTTAGAGTAACGTGGGCCTTTACTTGTATTGTGTAGCTGAACACACAGATAGTAGGCTTAGAGTTAGAGTAACGTGGGCCTTTACTTGTATTGTGTAGCTGAACACACAGATAGTAGGCTTAGAGTAACGTGGGTCTTTACTTGTATTGTGTAGCTGAACACACAGATAGTAGGCTTAGAGTTAGAGTAACGTGGGTCTTTACTTGTATTGTGTAGCTGAACACACAGATAGCAGATATAGAGTAAGCGCTGCCGGTTAAATATATAATTAAGGCATGGCTGTTCTAAAAGCTGATTGTTTCTAAGTTAAAAACACTAATTATGTCGACACGTTCGGTGAGGTTCGGTAATTGAGGTCACGTATCTGTAATGGTTACGGTCATGGTGGTGTAGACGGGGTGGAGGGATCGTAAAGGATTAATATAACATATCATTACTAAACATTTTTAAAATGTATCTAAAGATACAGATGGCTACAAGAATATTAGGACAAAATGTAGCTAAAGCATATTAGGATAAAATGTAGCTAAAGCATATTAGGACAAAATGTAGCTAAAGCATATTAGGACAAAATGTAGCTAAAGCATATTAGGACAAAATGTAGCTAAAGCATATTAAGACAAAATGTAGCTAAAGCATATTAGGAGAAAATATAGCTAAAGCATATTAGGACAAAATGTAGCTAAAGCATATTAGGACAAAATTTAGCTAAAGCATATTAAGACAAAATGTAGCTAAAGCATATTAGGACAAAATGTAGCTGAAGTTTATTAGCGCAAAATGTAGCTAAAGCATATTAGTTCAAAATGTAGCTGAAGTTTATTAGCGCAAAATGTATGCTACAGTCCTTGCTCTGCCTCTAGGGCAGCTCAAAGAAACTTAAGCTAGAAAACTTCACTCTAAAAGCCGTAGTTGTATTGTGGTGTTAAGTTTTAGGCCAGTTGATGTTTTAAAGCCTAGGGTTTGAGTATCTCCACTGGCGCTTCGCTAGTGACATCGGCCGTTAAGGCAGTGTTAGATTTAGTAACAGCAAGTGCTGTTTCAGTTAGGTTTTATCTTAGGGTCGACGTTATTGTACAGTCACCATCTGGATCACGTAAAGTACAGTCACCATCTGGACCCAGTGGAAGGGTAAACCAACTGTACCGACATAATGACTTCGTAGTGTCACGTAGGAGACCAACTGTACCGACGTAATGACTCCGTAGTGTCACTTAGGAGACTGTACCTATGTAGTGACTACGTAATGTCACAGTTGCAGTAATGACGTAGTTTCACGTGGAAGGGCCTGCTCGGCCCAGTGTGTTGGTCCCCATATATACGTGGGGCTCCACTATCAACCCACCACTACTGATTGTCCAGTGTGTTGGTCCCCATACATACGTGGGGCTATGAACCCACCACTACTGATTGTCTGTACAGTGAGTTGGTACCCATATATACATGGGGCTCCACTATCTACCCACCACTACTGATTGTCCAGTGTGTTGGTCCCCATATATACGTGTGGCTCCACTATCAACCCACCACTACTGATTGTCCAGTGTGTTGGTCCCCATATATACGTGTGGCTCCACTATCAACCCACCACTACTGATTGCCCAGTGTGTTGGTCCCCATATATACGTGTGGCTCCACTATCAACCCACCACTATTTATTGCCCAGTGAGTTGGTCCCCATATATACGTGGGGCTCCACTATCAAACCACCACTATTTATTGCCCAGTGAGTTGGTCCCCATATATACGTGGGGCTCCACTATCAACCCACCACTGCTGATGCTTCAACCAGCCGTGACTGTGGCCTTGTTTGACCCGTTCTTTAAACATTTGCCCTTCTCCCTGCAGAGTTCTCAAACGTCACGCTCTACTAATATGTTTTCTTTTCTTTGTTCCGGTGACATTTTAAATAAACCGGGAGTGATCTCCCCTAAACTATCTCGATTTTTCTATTATAACACTACGGGGGATGGCAACTCAGGACATAGACTATATTTGTAATCCATTTTTAATTACTTAATTACTTTTTAAAATAGAATAGAATCTCGTAGAAAAAAGAATTGCGCACCAAGTGAACGCCAAACAAAATGTGTATAATAATGCGGACTATTATTAGTACTTTATAAATTCACATGCGTTTTTTGAGAAATCGGAAATAGCGTAAATTACTACTTCCCGTCAACGGAAATTACTCGAAATTCGATAGAAAGTAGAGAATTAGATCTATTACTTACATGTATCTATCTGAAATAGTACTCAAATTAAAGGCTTTTGAAAAATTGAAAGTAGAAAAAGTTCCACTTCCAGTTATCGGAAATCGCTGGAAAGTTGATGCAGATCTACAATTTTTATATAATACTTATATATGAAATTTCGTCAACTTAGCTGTAACGGTACTCAAGTTATCGTGTTTACAGACAGACACACACACTCACACACACACAGACATATGGACAAGTTTGCAAAACTATGTTTTTCCGACACAGGGTAAAACGTCGAGATTTGCAAAAGTTTTTTTTTTTTTTTTTTTTTTTTTTTTTTTTTTTTTTTTGCACGACTACAATACTTTCTCTATACTCCGTATAAGAGAAAGTAAAAAAAAAACTGTGAAATCATCGGTACTTCTTGTGGCCATTCGGAAACGTTGTCACGTATTCTAGATGATCCGTGCACGCTGCCCCCACCCTTTTCAAGTCACGTGTCATAAAAAAGCGATCTAATCCCTCTAAAATGACGTCACAAAGTTCCACGTCACCGCTCAAAAAATAACCACGATGATAACGACAAGTAACATGCCCCCATCAGTAACTGTGTCCTTGAGAAATACAAAATAAAAGCTATGAATTGGATTTTTAAGTAGTCCTTTGATTTAATAGCTTTTAGTGGAAAGCTTTCTTAACAGGTATGAAGTAGGACACAGTTGCTCTTTGTCTCAATCCAGGCTTTAAGTCTGAAGGCTTGTTTTAATATGAACGATAGGGCAGCACTCGTAATCTAGATATTTGTTCAAACAATAGGGCAGTACACGAAATCTAGATGTTTGTTTTAATGTGAACTATAGGAAAGCACACGTAATGTAGATGTTGGTTTTAACGGGAACTATAGGACAGCACACGTAATGTAGATGTTGGTTTTAACGGGAACTATAGGACAGCACACGTAATGTAGATGTTTGTTTAAACTATAGGGCAGCACACGTAATGTAGATGTTTGTTTAAATGTGAACTATAGGGCAGCACACATAATGTAGATGTTTGTTTAAACTATAGGGCAGCACATGTAATGTAGATGTTTGTTTAAACTATTGGACAGCACACATAATGTAGATGTTTGTTTTAATGTAAACTATAGGACAGCACACGTAATATGTGTGTCTGTGTGGATAGTTTACAAATAAGAACCCTAACCTAGCTTAAACCCCAACGTTGAACTTAACTCTCCTGTCTAAGCCATGAAGGTACTTAACACATCTGTTACAAGTCCTCATCTACTGCTGCAATGGTTTACCCTGACTGAATTAAATCATAACCTGAAACTTTCGTAGCATGTCTTGTTAAAGCGGGTATTAAGCAATCCTCACATTACCTACAGCTGCACAAGGTAACCCTAACCTAATGAACTCTGTACTGTATCTAACCATACGACTGCAGTACAAGGTAACCCTAACCCTACTGAACTCTACTGTATCTAACCATACTACTGCATCATCAAGCTACATTTCTCCCATTATGACTTAAATTAACTTCAATTTTTTTGTCTTGCTTCAAGTTTGTGTGGAAGACGTGCAGGGGTCTGGGTGATGTCTCCTGTCTGGGGTGTGCCCTGCGATTCCTGCAACACTGCCTGTGCATCAGGAGCCTGAGTGCGGTTGTCAACCAGCGCGTCAGCATCATGGACAAGTGCACCAAGTTCAAACTCTTCATCGTCCTGCTCGTCCTGTGTGTCATCAATGTGTTTGCCTACCGGTTCTTTAGCCGGCCAGACTTGACCCTTGTAGAGTCCAGTTTTGTGACTTCTAAACCTAGTTTAAGGATCTCCAGCTCCAATGGCAGCAGGGACCATGGTGCCAACCATACTGCCGCCACTATAGCAGTGATTAGGTTAGATAAAGACATTATTCCCCATGAAATTCCTGCCAGTCCAGTGCTTGAGACCACTAGTACACAAAGTGAGGAGCCCAAGACACTGCCTCTCTGCCCGTTGGTGCCCCCAGCTTTAAGTAAGTTCAGCTTTCTGTCGCTTATGGTGCCCACTAAATGCTAACTCATATTTATGAAACGCTTCTTTCAAATATTTCATTGATTGAAATTGTATTAAAAACAAAAAGTTATTCTTTAACTAATACAAAACAATATTATAAAAAATCTAATATAAAAAATGGTGTGCATTTGATTCAAAGGTTTTAATTTATAGGTTAACTAGGTTAGCTTGTTACGTTGAGAAAATATGTAACTAGAATGCAGGTTTAATTTCATAGCACGTACCATTTGTTTGCTTTTTAATAAAAAAAAATTCCCATAATTTGTTTCTTAAAATGCCTTACAATTTTTTAAAAACTTTAACACAAAGCTTACCTTTAAAAAACAATTAACCAAACAATATTTAATAATCTTTCTTGTAAAAATGGCTATTTTTAAAAGCTTTAAACCTTTCACATGTTTGATACCTTTAAATGGCTATTTTTAAAACCTTTCACATTTTTGATACCTTTAACAATTAATTTTTAAGGGACAACCTCAGGCCTTGTTTGTAAGTGTTTTTTTTTTCAACATTTTTTTTCCTGATTTAGCAAAATGATTTAGAAATCATAATCCCATCACAAAGTTTGCTCCGACTAAAAATGTTTTCAGTGTTAGATGTGTGCATCCAACACTGATGACTTTTTAGCACTGGAACATCAGCGCACTAAGCCATCACTGCTGGGAATTATGCATTCTACTTAAATTGTATCATAATGGGTATATTTGGATTGTGATACTTGCTTCAGATTTAGCAATATATGGTTTGCTTTTGAGTTTTGTGCTAGTTCCTATAATCTCTATATACATATTTCATCCTACTTGAAAATGTTTTAATCTTTTATCAGAATCAAAAGAATAAATAAACACCTTCATTGATCTAGATAAAATGGTTGAAATATGAATAAAGCATAAGTAGGGCAGGCAGACATGCGGATCACACATTTATTTTCACTGTATAAATATGATCTTGTGTGTTGATACAACAACCACATATACATACGATGTAGTCATGTAGCAAGGAATGCATATGTCTTCACCAAGTTTTGAAATATATTTACCTAGTCTGCTTTAGATTTTGAAATGCTAGTCTTATCTTGCATGATGTACATTTTTAGAAATGGCTTTATAATTAGAGTGAGGCAGACTTTCAATTTTGCTCTGCTCCCTCCCCCCACAACCACCAGTATAAATATTGATACAATTAACACAATGTTCACCATTGTTTGAGGTATTTTGTTGTTGTACTTGCCTCAGCTGGTGGTATTGTGTAGGGCTGTGGTGGTAGATTTGCCAAAAATAGATGTGAAACTAACCAAACTAAATGATCATTGTCATGAACTTGATCTGAGTTTTGGCACCAAATGTTCTACTAACTACTAGGTGCATGAAGGTACTTTTGGAGGCTGAAGTTTAATGTTCACATTCTATTTCTTTCTTCCTATCTTTGCAGATTTATGATTTTTTATGGTGTGTCCCAAAATATTGATGTAATCAATTCTCTTTTGTTTGCAGCTTTATTATTTTTTATGCTTTGTCTTGAAGTATTGATGCAATCAATTCTCCATGTTGTGTCTTGAAGTAGTGATGCAATCAATTCTCCAAGCTGTGTATTGAAGTATTGATGCAATCAATTCTCCATGTTGTGTCTTGAAGTATTGATGCAATCAATTCTCCAAGCTGTGTATTGATGCAATCAATTCTCCATGTTGTGTCTTGAAGTATTGATGCAATCAATTCTCCATGCTGTGTCTTGAAGTATTGATGCAATCAATTCTCCATGTTGTGTCTTGAAGTATTGATGCAATCAATTCTCCATGCTGTGTCTTGAAGTATTGATGCAATCAATTCTCCATGTTGTGTCTTGAAGTATTGATGCAATCAATTCTCCATGTTGTGTCTTGAAGTATTGATGCAATCAATTCTCCAGGCTTTGTATTGAAGTATTGATGCAATCAATTCTCCATGTTGTGTCTTGAAGTATTGATGCAATCAATTCTCCATGTTGTGTCTTGAAGTATTGATGCAATCAATTCTCTAGGCTGTTTCTTGATGCAATCAATTCTCCATGTTGTGTCTTGAAGTATTGATGCAATCAATTCTCCATGTTGTGTCTTGAAGTATTGATGCAATCAATTCTCCATGTTGTGTCTTGAAGTATTGATGCAATCAATTCTCTAGGCTGTTTCTTGATGCAATCAATTCTCCATGTTGTGTCTTGAAGTATTGATGCAATCAATTCTCTAGGCTGTTTCTTGATGCAATCAATTCTCCATGTTGTGTCTTGAAGTATTAATGCAATCAATTCTCCATGTTGTGTCTTGAAGTATTGATGCAATCAATTCTCCATGTTGTGTCTTGAAGTATTGATGCAATCAATTCTCCAGGCTGTGTCTTGAAGTATTGATGCAATCAATTCTCTAGGCTGTTTCTTGATGCAATCAATTCTCCATGTTGTGTCTTGAAGTATTGATGCAATCAATTCTCCATGTTGTGTCTTGAAGTATTGATGCAATCAATTCTCCATGTTGTGTCTTGAAGTATTGATGCAATCAATTCTCCAGGCTGTGTCTTGAAGTATTGATGCAATCAATTCTCCATGCTTTGTCTTGAAGTATTGATGCAATCAATTCTCCATTGTTTTCAGATTAGTTCCAGACCAACAGCTAACTGCATATAAATCTTCTGGTTCTTTAAAATGATAGTTAAAGTGTTTTCTGCCTCTATCTACCCCACCCACTTTAGTTCAAGGATTGATGCATCAGACCCATGACCCAACTTTGCTATGATTCTCAGATGGGCCCCTCGCCACATATACCCAAAGCCTTACACTTGAAGAAATTGCCAAGGAGAACCCAGGTCTGAAGCCCGGGGGTGTGTTCAGGCCGCCCGACTGCACAGCTCGTCACAGGGTGGCCATTGTCATCCCCTACAGGAACAGGGAAGAGCACCTGAAGCTGCTGCTGAGGAACCTGCACCCAATGTTGGCCCGCCAGCAGCTGGACTACGGCATCTTTGTCATTGACCAGGTATGGCATCTTTGTCATTGACCAGGTATGGCATCTTTGTCATTGACCAGGTATGGCATCTTTGTCATTGACCAGGTATGGCATCTTTGTCGTTGACCAGGTATGGCATCTTCGTCATTGACCAGGTATGGCATCTTTGTCATTGACGGCATCTTTGTCATTGACCAGGTATGGCATCTTGTCATTGACCAGGTTAGGCATCTTTGTCATTGACCAGGTATGGCATCTTTGTCATTGACCAGGTATGGCATCTTTGTCGTTGACCAGGTATGGCATCTTTGTCATTGACCAGGTATGGCATCTTTGTCATTGACCAGGTATGGCATCTTTGTCGTTGACCAGGTATGGCATCTTCGTCATTGACCAGGTATGGCATCTTTGTCATTGACAGCATCTTTGTCATTGACCAGGTATGGCATCTTGTCATTGACCAGGTTAGGCATCTTTGTCATTGACCAGGTTAGGCATCTTTGTCATTGACCAGGTATGGCATCTTTGTCATTGACCAGGTATGGCATCTTTGTCATTGACCAGGTATGGCATCTTTGTCATTGACCAGGTATGGCATCTTTGTCATTGACCAGGTATGGCATCTTTGTCATTGACCAGGTATGGCATCTTTGTCGTTGACCAGGTATGGCATCTTTGTCATTGACCAGGTATGGCATCTTTGTCATTGACCAGGTATGGCATCTTTGTCATTGACCAGGTATGGCATCTTTGTCATTGACCAGGTATGGCATCTTTGTCGTTGACCAGGTATGGCATCTTTGTCATTGACCAGGTATGGCATCTTTGTCATTGACCAGGTATGGCATCTTTGTCATTGACCAGGTATGGCATCTTTGTCATTGACCAGGTATGGCATCTTGTCATTGACTAGGTATGGCATCTTGTCATTGACCAGGTATGGCATCTTTGTCATTGACCAGGTATGGCATCTTTGGCATTGACCAGGTATGGCATCTTGTCATTGACTAGGTATGGCATCTTTGTCATTGACGGCATCTTTGTCATTGACCAGGTATGGCATCTTTGTCATTGACGGCATCTTTGTCATTGACCAGGTATGGCATCTTTGTCATTGACCAGGTATGGCATCTTTGTCATTGACCAGGTATGGCATCTTTGTCATTGACGGCATCTTTGTCATTGACCAGGTATGGCATCTTTGTCATTGACGGCATCTTTGTCATTGACCAGGTATGGCATCTTTGTCATTGACGGCATCTTTGTCATTGACCAGGTATGGCATCTTTGTCATTGACGGCATCTTTGTCATTGACCAGGTATGGCATCTTTGTCATTGACGGCATCTTTGTCATTGACCAGGTATGGCATCTTGTCATTGACCAGGTATGGCATCTTTGTCATTGACCAGGTATGGCATCTTGTCATTGACCAGGTATGGCATCTTTGTCATTGACGGCATCTTTGTCATTGACCAGGTATGGCATCTTGTCATTGACCAGGTATGGCATCTTTGTCATTGACCAGGTTAGGCATCTTGTCATTGACCAGGTATGGCATCTTTGTCATTGACCAGGTTAGGCATCTTGTCATTGACCAGGTATGGCATCTTGTCATTGACGGCATCTTTGTCATTGACCAGGTATGGCATCTTTGTCATTGACCAGGTATGGCATCTTGTCATTGACCAGGTATGGCATCTTGTCATTGACCAGGTATGGCATCTTTGTCATTGACCAGGTATGGCATCTTTGTCATTGACCAGGTATGGCATCTTGTCATTGACCAGGTATGGCATCTTGTCATTGACCAGGTATGGCATCTTGTCATTGACCAGGTATGGCATCTTTGTCATTGACCAGGTATGGCATCTTTGTCATTGGCCAGGTATGGCATCTTTGTCATTGACCAGGTAAGGCATCTTTGTCATTGACCAGGTATGGCATCTTTGTCATTGACCAGGTATGGCATCTTTGTCATTGACCAGGTATGGCATCTTTGTCATTGACCAGGTATGGCATCTTTGTCATTAACCAGGTATGGCATCTTTGTCATTGGCCAGGTATGGCATCTTTGTCATTGACCAGGTATGGCATCTTGTCATTGACTAGGTATGGCATCTTTGTCATTAACCAGGTATGGCATCTTTGTCATTGGCCAGGTATGGCATCTTTGTCATTGACCAGGTATGGCATCTTTGTCATTGACCAGGTATGGCATCTTTGTCATTGACCAGGTATGGCATCTTTGTCATTGACCAGGTATGGCATCTTTGTCATTGACCAGGTAAGGCATCTTTGTCATTGACCAGGTATGGCATCTTTGTCATTGACCAGGTATGGCATCTTTGTCATTGACCAGGTATGGCATCTTTGTCATTGACCAGGTATGGCATCTTTGTCATTGACCAGGTATGGCATCTTTGTCATTGACCAGGTCTGGCATCTTTGTCATTGACCAGGTATGGCATCTTTGTCATTGACCAGGTATGGCATCTTTGTCATTGACCAGGTATGGCATCTTGTCATTGACCAGGTATGGCATCTTTGTCATTGACCAGGTATGGCATCTTGTCATTGACCAGGTATGGCATCTTTGTCATTGACCAGGTATGGCATCTTGTCATTGACTAGGTATGGCATCTTTGTCCTTGACCAGGTATGGCATCTTTGTCATTGACCAGGTATGGCATCTTGTCATTGACCAGGTATGGCATCTTTGTCATTGACCAGGTATGGCATCTTGTCATTGACCAGGTATGGCATCTTTGTCCTTGACCAGGTATGGCATCTTTGTCATTGACCAGGTATGGCATCTTTGTCCTTGACCAGGTATGGCATCTTTGTCATTGACGGCATCTTTGTCATTGACCAGGTATGGCATCTTTGTCATTGACGGCATCTTTGTCATTGACCAGGTATGGCATCTTTGTCATTGACCAGGTATGGCATCTTTGTCATTGACCAGGTATGGCATCTTTGTCATTGACCAGGTATGGCATCTTGTCATTGACGGCATCTTTGTCATTGACCAGGTATGGCATCTTGTCATTGACCAGGTATGGCATCTTGTCATTGACCAGGTTAGGCATCTTGTCATTGACCAGGTATGGCATCTTTGTCATTGACGGCATCTTTGTCATTGACCAGGTATGGCATCTTTGTCATTAACCAGGTATGGCATCTTTGTCATTGGCCAGGTATGGCATCTTTGTCATTGACCAGGTATGGCATCTTTGTCATTGACCAGGTATGGCATCTTTGTCATTGACCAGGTATGGCATCTTTGTCATTGACCAGGTATGGCATCTTTGTCATTGACCAGGTAAGGCATCTTTGTCATTGACCAGGTATGGCATCTTTGTCATTGACCAGGTATGGCATCTTTGTCATTAACCAGGTATGGCATCTTTGTCATTGACCAGGTATGGCATCTTTGTCATTGACCAGGTATGGCATCTTTGTCATTGACCAGGTCTGGCATCTTTGTCATTGACCAGGTATGGCATCTTTGTCATTGACCAGGTATGGCATCTTTGTCATTGACCAGGTATGGCATCTTGTCATTGACCAGGTATGGCATCTTTGTCATTGACCAGGTATGGCATCTTGTCATTGACCAGGTATGGCATCTTTGTCATTGACCAGGTATGGCATCTTGTCATTGACTAGGTATGGCATCTTTGTCCTTGACCAGGTATGGCATCTTTGTCATTGACCAGGTATGGCATCTTGTCATTGACCAGGTATGGCATCTTTGTCATTGACCAGGTATGGCATCTTGTCATTGACCAGGTATGGCATCTTTGTCCTTGACCAGGTATGGCATCTTTGTCATTGACCAGGTATGGCATCTTTGTCCTTGACCAGGTATGGCATCTTTGTCATTGACGGCATCTTTGTCATTGACCAGGTATGGCATCTTTGTCATTGACGGCATCTTTGTCATTGACCAGGTATGGCATCTTTGTCATTGACCAGGTATGGCATCTTTGTCATTGACCAGGTATGGCATCTTTGTCATTGACCAGGTATGGCATCTTGTCATTGACGGCATCTTTGTCATTGACCAGGTATGGCATCTTGTCATTGACCAGGTATGGCATCTTGTCATTGACCAGGTTAGGCATCTTGTCATTGACCAGGTATGGCATCTTTGTCATTGACGGCATCTTTGTCATTGACCAGGTATGGCATCTTTGTCATTGACCAGGTAGAATGGCATCTTTGTCATTGACCAGGTATGGCCATTTTAAAAAAGTTTACCACATACTACCTGTAACCTTAAGATTTAAATCAAAAGGCATTAAGTTATTTTATCTGATTCAAGATTTTCCATACCTGCATTTTTAACTTTCAGTGAGACTTACTAAAAAGAGAACCTGTTATTTGTGCTAAAGCCTTGGGTTTTAAACTTCAATTTGTTTTTTTAGACCACAAACAATTATTATAAACCTGTATCTTTAGGCCATCTTTTAATCCTTTACTTCAAATAATAGTTTTTTAGCCATTGTGAATTATTAATTTATCTGTGCCTTGGTCTACAGTTTGGACTGCTGTTTCAAAAATATGTTTTTTGTTTAGTTTTTAACTTGTTTAAAACTATACTAGATCTGTACCTTAATTAAGTGGTAGTTTTTAAACTTTAAACTTGCTAAAAGAATTGTAAAAGTCCATTTCTCTGTTGTAGGCTTTACCAGGCAAGTTCAACCGAGCCATGCTTATGAACATCGGCTTCGAGAAGGCCATGGAGAAGTATGATTATCAGTGTGCCATTTTCCATGATGTTGACCTTATCCCAGAAAATGATAGAAATATTTATTCCTGTCCAGAAATGCCAAGGCACATGTCTGCTGCAATAGACAAATTTAATTACAGGTAAGCAAATGTTACAATCATTGACTGCATCATTTTCTTCTCTCACTTCAGACTAAAAAAATCAGAAGTTTATCGACACCAGTGTCTCTCTGTTAGCTTGTGGTTCTATTCATTCATCTCAGTGTCTTAATTTAACATTAGAGCATAAAAAAACATTTGCTTGTTCTAATTCAGATTGCCAGATCATGTTATAAACATTTTAAACCTGTACCATTCCAGGTTGCCCTATGGGGTCATCCATAAATGACGTCACGCTTTTTTTGACGATTTTTACCTCCCCCCCTCCCCTCCGTCACACGTCGTCACAAAAAGTCACACCCCCCCCCTAAAATGACGTCACACCTCAACCTACAACCCCCCTCAAAATTGCAGTTGAATTTTTTTAAAACATCGATATTTTTCCAAAATCTTGTCTAAACTATTACAATTTATTAAAACAGTTATCTAAAACGCGAAATAACGTCTAAAATTCGTTTCCTAACATTGCTTTTTTATAATGCAAAAATGTGACGTCGCAACATCTGAACCCCCCCCCCCCTCCCCCTCATCACACATCGTCACAAAATTACGGACCCCCCCTCCCCCTATGAGTGTGACGTCATTTATGGATGACCCCTATGATGTTATAAACATTTTAAACTTGAACCATTCCAGGTTGCCCTATGATGCCATATATGGAGGTGTCAGTGCTATTAACAAGGAACAGTTCAAACAAATCAATGGTTTCTCTAACCTGTTTTTTGGCTGGGGCGGGGAGGATGATGATATGGCTACAAGGTATCTGTGGGATAAACTTAAGAGCAAAAATAAATACGTCTATTATTTTTCTAACCTGTCCTCTTCTAACCTGAACCTCACATCATTTTATTCTTCATCCCTACTGAAGTGACCACGCTATTGGCAATGATTTTCAGTCCTGTGTCTGAATTGTACTGTCTCAGTTATCATCTTTAGCTCACTCTTGTCACTACTAGACATCCACATTTGTTTACTATTAGATTAATCTTGATTAGGACAAACCAATAAGCTCTGTAGATATTGCGTACTTGGTACATAAGTTTTGGATCCAGAGTACTTGAAGTAGTCTCAAGATTACTAGATACAAGTTAATCAACTAATTTGCTTGTTTTTAGGATATCACACAGTGGTCTCAAGATAACAAGATATCCAATGGACATTGCCAGATATAGGATGATAAAACATAGCAAGGATAATGGCAATGAGCAAAACCCACAGAGGTGAGTTTTCTTGTTTAGGTTTTCAGAAATGGATGACAGAATTAAATATCTTAGAGAAATGGATGACAAAATTAAATATTATAGAGAAATGAATGACATAATTAAAATCATAGAGAAATGGATGACGATTTAAATATCATAGAGAAATGGATGACATAATTAAATATAGAGAATTGGATGACAAAATTAAATATTATAGAGAAATGGATGACATAATTAAATATAGAGAAATGGATGACAGAATTAAAATCATACAGAAATGGATGATGAATTAAATATAGAGAAATGGATGACATAATTAAAATCATAGAGAAATGGATGATGATTTAAATATAGAGAAATGGATGATGATTTAAATATAGAGAAAAGGATGACAGAATTTAATATAGAGAAATGGATGACAGAATTAAATATCATAGAGAAATGGATGACATAATTAAATATTATTGAGAAATGGATGACATAATTAAATATTATAGAGAAATGGATGACATAATTAAATATTATAGAGAAATGAATGACATAATTAAAATCATAGAGAAATGGATGACAGAATTAAATATAGAGATATGAATGACAAATATAAATATAGAGAAATGAATGTCAGAATTAAATATAGAGAAATGGATGACAGAAATAAATATCATACAGAAATGAATGACAGAATAAAATATCATAGAGAAATAAATGACAGAATTAAATATCAGAGAAGATGTCTTAAAGGCACAAAATCTCAAGACACATCAAATAAATCTAAAAATAATTAGTAAGCTTTTAAATCCACTAAAAATTAAAGAAGCTTACTTAATAAAAGTGGCTTGCTAAAATGTACCAGAGGTTTTATGAATGGCCAACACTTTTTGTATAGTGGTTATTTAGTTTTTTTTTTAACATACATATTTTTTTAATATTAGCTCACCTGAGTTATAGAGTGATCTCTTAGTTAGACTGTTTTCTTCACCGTTATATTGTATATAGTAATTGTACATTTATTTTAAATGACTAATGTCATATCTAACAGTTTAAAAATTTAATATTATTGCATTGTCATGAGATATCAATTATTTAATTTTAACAAAATCACGGCACTAGAAGTTAGTCAAAACTGAGTTGCAAGATTTGGCTACAGACAGTGACACTAAAGTAAATCAAAAAAGTTACTCCATCTACGGGGAATATTATGCCTTTCAACAATAGAAACACAATTTTGTCCCTTTTTTATTCTTTACTTTTTCTTTTTGGGGGCTTTTAGGATGCAAGCTTAGAAAAATCAAGGCTTAGACTTGAATTATATGAGTGGAGTGTGTATTGCCATGTTGGCATTCAAAATGTTTTGTATGAGTATCACTCAGTACTTGTTTGTGTCATTAGATTTGTATGAGTATCACTCAGTACTTGTTTGTGTCATTAGATTTGTATGAGTATCACTCAGTACTTGTTCAATATTTGTGTCATTAGATTTGCACTCCTCAAAACTACTTCCAAGCGCATGGCTTACGACGGCCTCAATTCTCTCAAATACACAACCCAGTTAGTCGAGGAGCTGCCTACACATCTTAGAATACAAGTTCTTATAAACGAAGCTGAGGTTGTGGTGGGTACTAAGTCAATTACAGGACTTATTAAAAAATTACTGATTTAAAATTACTAGTTTAGTGTTTAAAAACATTTGATTTTGAAAGAAAATGTTTAAAATTATATATTGTTTTAACTTTATCTTTCAGGACAATACAAAACAATCATGAGCAGATCCACCCTCTTGACTTAGTATTTTATTTCTGACTTTGTGATCGTAGGGTGCACTGACTTTGTGATCATAGGGTGCACTGACTTCGTGATCATAGGGTGCACGGACTTTGTGATATTGGAATTATTTGACTATGGGACACACCCACCATGGCCCAGTTGGGCTTCAATTTTGAACTTGTGCCTTTCTTAGTGTAATTATATGGATATTTATGTTAACATTGTTGAGTGTTAAAAACAAAACAATTATTGTGTACAACATTTGGATGACAGGAGTCATTATTCTGTTGAAAACTTCAGAAACCTGGAGTTAGAAGTTCAAAACTGTACTTAAACAAAAATACTTCAAGTTTTGAACCTCATCTTTAATATTGCTTCAAGTAGGACAACAAGTGAAAAGATGTAACTTGAATTGTCAGCAAGATTTAAGTTATAGGATCAACTGACAAGTTGACACTTTGTTTTCTTACTATCAGATAGATACCTTGGTTTTTGTATAACAAGTTTAAATAGCAATGTCACTCTCGTGATCAGCGTGAAGAATGCATCAGCAACAAATAACAGACTGGTCTGGGCTTTCTTTCTGCAACCTGCGTGCAGTGTATGAGGCCATAGTTTTGGCTAATGAATATGGTAATTTATTGGTACTTATGCTCATCTTTTAAAATATTTGGCAGCTTACCTCAGAATGCTACATTAACTGCTGTCTGACAAAAATATTTTATGGGCTGCAAAAAAAAAAACCAACGGTTGTACTCTCACTTTATTTGTGTTCATATTTTAAACAGTATGAAATGTACTGTTTCAATAGGATTGTATCCTATTTCTAGTGTGGTTTATTAGTTGATAATGAAGATTAGCTACTTAGTTTAGATGGCTAGTTTACGGTTTCCCAGGTTTTGCTTATGAGTTTTAAACACTGCCGTAGTTTATTCCTGAGTTTGTTCTCATGGTAAAATAGAAGCTGTTCTAGAATGCACTGTTTACAACAGCTGAACATTCCACTGAGCCTGGTGTGCAACAGATGGGTTGCAAAATTATCCAGCATGGGAAATAACTTGTGTATAAGTTGACACCAGAGGACGATTTAATCAACTTAAAGAACTTGTATGTTCTCTTAAGAAATAATAATTTGCTCATATAGGTAGATACAAAAATATGTAAAATGTCAAAATATAGATTATGTAGAAGAGTTATTGTGAAATAGTTTCTAGAATAATTGTCATGAGGATTTTTTATCTAGTCAATTATGCTTGAACATCTTTTAGTTTCATCTCATATTAGAAGAAAAAGCCATATCCAATTCACCAGTAAATTTCATTCTGTTGTGTGAGTTAAGTTTGTATGTGTTAGACTAGGCTAATCTAGTAGTTTAAACCACTGTCTATACAACAACCACTGTCTATCTAAAGCTGGAGAGGCTAAAACAAAATTGCCAAATAACACAACGACTGTTTGTTTGCCACACCCAGAAGCACTGCTAAACCTTGAAGAAGCTGTACAAATCTTGAGCCAGCATGGATTATGTTTGCTACTAAACTAATTGTGAAGAATATTTTGTACCTGTCTTGTATTAGCTTGTTCCTCCACATCCATTTATCAGACTCTAGGACAGGTGTCTTTTTTTATCAGAACTTTAAAATGTTCACCAGTTACTTAAGTATAGTCATGATACCATGCGCTCTACCAAGTTGATGCCTGCTACTTGAGCATATTTCTTTAAGGTGTTTACTTGCAACCTCTCTATAATCACATCTGACCGGGTGAGCCAATAAGCAAGGACCTTAAGCTGTAAGTGACTGACTGACTGAAGGGAAAGTCAAAGTTAGGGTTGAGCTAACCCAACCAACTACCTTATCAGGGCCATAACAGACTTCAAGTGAATTCATGAACATTCCCATGGTTTAGCAAAAGAAGAAAAAATACCACAAAGCTTTGTTTGTAAACTTTGAGTGAATTGAATGAACATTCCCATGGTTAACAAATAAATACCACACTTTTGAAGCTGTCTTGATAAGAAATCTACAACAGATATATTTTCCCTTGTAATACATGCATTATATTACAATATGATGTCTTAAGGTTATAATTAATGAAATTAATGTTGTATGTTAATAAATAAGTTATTTATTTTGTTTTAATTTTACTCTAATCACAACCACTGTACTTTAATTATTTGCTTAACAATGCACTGTACATGGTCTAAAAACCTAAACTGAATAAATCTTTAAAAAAAAACTGAAATCACATTCAATAAAATTTTATATATGAAATGCATACTAAGAATTAAATGTTATTTTTTGTATGTTGTGAAATAAATAACCAAAAATGACAAGAATACTATTTAATGAAGCATTTTCAATGTACTTTCTATTCTGCCACAGTGCAACAACCAACCAAACGTTTTACAATGAATATTTATTGAAGCATCCTTAATGTACTTTTAAAACAGTGCCTGTAAAATGTAGGTAGTACTACGCGAAACTGTTTAGTATGTTGTTTTTTGTTTGTTTATTAAAAAAAGAAATGACTTCTTTAAATATAGTAGTTTTTTTAAAGATGAAGGACTAATAGAAAGGCTATTCCTTTTCTGCAACTTTGTATCACTTTGAACCATTCCACAACTATTGTTTGAAGCTAACACTTCCCCTTTGTTTTAACTTGAAATAACTAAATGTCATTTATTATATTAATATCATGCTTATTTATATACAAGCTATGTAATTTGTTTTATTGTTTTTTGTTTTGTTTTTTGAGTGGTAAAATTTTTTTTACTGTGTAAACCATATCAAAAACAAAATTAAATTCAATTTGACTGGTGCATTTTACCTGCCTTTTAAAATTTAAGAATTTTTGTGGAGTAATCAAGTATGTGTGATAGTTTTTACAGTTGGGCTTTTCCAGGCATTTTTTGTTCACATTTCCTGTTAATGATACAAGTCTCATTAATTTATAGTTTGGTTTTACGTGTTCTTCTGTAAAACTTATTCACTTGGTTATTTTATTCATGCTTCTGTAAAACACATTGACACAATGCACTTTCATCTTTGGTGAGTTATATCTCACATCTGCTACTTTTAAAATTCTTATTGAACTCATTAAGTTTGTTTAATCAACTATTCCTCAATGCTATTTACTTTATACTATTATTTGTGACATGAATATGGGAACTATTTTAGTTATGTAGCTTTCAATTGTAGAATGAACTGATAATCTTGATGGGAAACAAATGTTAGTTTATAGGAAATGGTCAGTTAACCATGTCGAGACAGGGGCAGGTTAATCTTGTCTAGTTAGGGACAAGTGCTGGCAGGTAGATACATTATGTACAATTGGTAACAAGTTTAATAGATACATACAATAATAGTTTTATTCAGTAGTGAGGGTACAAAATTCAGCTTTAAAAAAAAGAGGCCATAAAATGTTATATTTATGCTATGCATATATTTTAGACCATTTAAGAACTTACGAAGGTACTAAATTTTATCATCACCCTACCCATACTTATCTTTGTTTATATTTGATATCATAATAAAGATTTATAAATTATCAACTTTTTATTATTAAAATTGAAATATATTAAGCATTTACTCTGCTGTTTTAAAAGTTTTTGTGTGTTTATTTATTCACTGTTGTCTGGATGTGTATGGTTTATCTGATGCAGTGCAGCTGTTTTTTTTATAAGAAAGCTCTGATGAACACCACTACATTACACAAACAATGCAAAGAGTATGCTTTTTCCTCTTGGTCAATACTCCTAAAAAGATATCCATAAGTTGAATGCTATTTTCCCATTTTAAATTTTATTTTCTGCTGGTTTGAACTGATCTGTCTAAAGTACTAAAGCTAGAGAACACCATACAAAAAATAATCTTTTGATCACCCAGTGTTATTTACATAAATCAGCAGATACTTTAATGTGGTCTCTTTACTTTAGTCAATAAAAAAGAAAATAACAAAAAGTACAACTGTAGATCTCAACAGCAGAGTACATAATTTACCATTACATGTAGTTCAAAATGGATAATGACTCAAATAAAAATCAAAGTAATTAATGAGCTGTGACTCTTGAAACTGTATCACTTAACATTTGTACTCTACATTAAAACAGCTGCATTGTGTGTTGTTACTGCATTGCCCTCTATGGTTAGATGAAAACAGTATTGTTCACAGATGTAACTCCACCTACCCTACCCGAAGAGACACCTGAAATAAGCTTTGCTCCTAGCTGTGGTGTAGCTAGGTTATGCTATATGGGTGGCTGCCTTTAGTGCCAAACCTAAGGGGGGCGACAAAAGGGTTGAAAAAAAATTAAAAAAGCTTACTTTAAGCTCAAGTATTATACACAGCCACAGTTAAGAAAATAAACAGCTGCAAAAAATGACAGCACGAGTTATAAATTATGTTTCTCCCTTCAACATCATTACATTAAGATTAAGCCACACCACTCCTCTCTCTGACCCTTTAAACAAACATATTTTAGTCAACACCATAATTCCCCCCCTCCCCCCCCCCCCCCTCCCCCAAAAAAAAAAAGAAACAGTTTTTGTTTTTAAAACAGATTTCTTCATAATTATAAACGACTTTTTGCGCACGGCAAAAAAAAGTCCTCAAAAAGTGTGAAATAATTATTAAGATTCAGTTTTTAAAATAAAAATGCAAATTGTGTCACCTTACCAATTTCAGCCACCCCCCCCCATCCCTCTCTCTCTCTTCTCTTCTCTCTTCCCCCCCCCCCCCCCCCCCATCCCTCCATGTAACAAAAGGACCAACTTCTCCACCTTCTCGCCTTGAAGATTACCTAAATCAACTAGGACTACTAGATCTAGATCTAAATGTCAAACGAAAATATGTGGAACCCACAGATTAGAGGCAACCAAACATTGATGGGGAAAAAATATATCGATATGCCTATAAATCTAGATCTATATTATTTAAAGTGGATTCGAAATGCTATTATAATTTAAATTACTTTTACTAGGCCTACAAATAGATCCTATAATTAAAAAAAATTCGAACTTGGCTTATTACAACACATTTTTATCTGGATTATTGGTACACATTTCTACTACTAGAATCTAGAATCTAGATCTAGATCTATCTAGATCTACAAGACCAAGATAATATCTTGGCAAGATATCTATGCTAAAATTGTTAGTCTAACTAGGCCTAGATCTATATATATTAATTAACTAAGTTTAAGTTAGTGTGCTTAACTAGATCTCAGATCTAGATTTAGATCTATTATTAATAGTATTATAGATATATATATAGAGAGAGAGACTAATTACTAATATTAATATAGAATTATTATAGATCTAGAGAAAAATTATTATTCCACTTATCTAGAATCTAGACTTGACTTAGAAGTTAGACTTTTAGTGAGTGTTAAAAAGTCTTTTAAGAGCAAATTTGACAATTCCCAAATCCCGACAAGGGTGGAGGGAGGGGGGTGCAAATCAAATGTTTGAAGTGGGGGTGCAAATCGAATGTTTGAAGTGGGGGTGCAAATGGAAAATTGAAAGTTTGTCCCCGGGCGCTGGGAAGGGTCACTGTGCCTCTGGTGGTGACACCATTAATAAGTGCCGCACCGGGTGACACCCAACCTCGCTACGCCACTGCAGATGGCCTATATAATATACAATATAATCCCTAGCCTATATATTATATAATCTATATATATATAATATGATTTCTAGATCTATGTGACTGTCTATGTCCCTTGTTAGCCATAGTATGTAGTATGTAAAAAAAAAATGTAGGCCTATATCTTATGCAGGGACCTACTATGTTAGAGTATGTTGATCAAATTTTCTTTGAATATTTATTTTTTCTGCAGAAGAATAGGTTTTACAAGCCTACCAGTGAAAGAAACAATGGATGCAAAGATAGGAAGAAATGAGAGACTTGAGCTAGTAAGAAATTGTATTGATAAAATCTGGTCACATCTAGAGGGATACATTGCCCTTGTGAACACACACGGAGCCGAGTTTATAACTGAGAGGCACTGGGACAAGTTTGTGCCTAAACCTGTGCAAGACTTTTTGATGACATGCAGCTCAGAAGATCTAGTTACCTTGCCAATGAAAGGTGTCTCAGCCAGCCCTGGGTCTGATGAAAAAATTCTAGTAGGTGTCTCTAAATGATTATAATTACATTAACAATTTTAAAAAAATTTTCATAGTCAAACGACCAGTTTTCTTTTATACAAGTTTAAGACAGATAATTGTGAATCTTTTTCTGTTTTTAGCTCATAATAAAATAATTTAAAAATCTCTTCATTGTTTCTATTTTTAAAATCCAGTTTTGATTGAAAAGTATAAAATTTAGACTCACTGTAATCTTTTCTACCCAATTTTTAGTGGTTGACAGCTTTTATAAGACAATCACACGAGTTATTTCTGGAGAACCTGGGTGTCCTGACTCCAGTGGAAGACATATTAACTGTACCGAACTGCCACACTGAAGAAGACTACCATGAAATCGTCTCCGAGTCCATGTCCATGAAAAAGTACCACGAAGTTGGCATCATGTCAGACACTGTGTCTGCTCTGTACAAGTCTTGTGCTGCTCATGTGGTCAGTCTGAGATTTTCATCCAATACAATTTGTATCTCATCTTTTATTTCCATTTAGTTTGTGGACTTTGTCTTATTCAAAAAACTATTGGATTAAAAGATTAAAGAATTTTTAACTTAAATATTTGTAAAATAACTCAAGTGAGAATTTCATCTGTTTAAATATTGATGTTTGAAATAACATATTGTTGCAGGTGATAGACTTTGGGAGTGGTAAAGGATACCTGAGCACTGACTTGGCAAGAAAACACCAGATACCTGTTGTTGGCCTGGACTCTAGTGACAACAATACCCACAGTGCTCAGAGGCGGGATGCCAGACTTGCCAAGAGGTGGAATATTTTAACCAAGAAAAAAAGAAAAAAGGTTTGTAAATGACTTACGTTATATGTTGTAAATACATAAAAATACATAAAACTGCTTATTTAAAAAAAAATACTTAAAATTTCATATTTTAAAAAATGTGTAAAACTGTATATTTATAAAAAATATGTATTCCCTTATTTTAAAAAAAATTGTAAAACCGCAGATGTTTAAAAAAATATGTAAAACTATATTATTTTATTTTGAGATTGGTTTTTATAGTCAAAATTATATTTTCATACATTTCAATCTTGCTCTAAGTTTGTAATAATTTCTTCATCTGCATTCTTAACTATTATTGTTTTTTTAAATTCTATTTTCTATGTAGTAGATTTTTATATATTATATACAATAAGACACATTGCTTTATTTGAGGTTACACAGAATATTTCTAAATGCTTTTTTTATTGGTCTTTAGATCTCATGTTTAAAACATCTGTTTTCTGTCTTAATCTAAAAAGCAGAAATATTCAAATTACATGTTTGAAAGTAGTTATTGAAGTATTTAATAATATATTGATTATTTTTTCTCTTCAGACTAAGAGTTTCACAATTGGTACTGACAGTCCAGTGATAAAAAATAAAGAACTCTCCTGCATTAAAAATAAGAATGCCATAAATTATAGTAAAACTTGTGAATGTGAATCAACCAGCTGTGAGCAGTGTTCTGAGACTGATATTTGTGATCTCCTGGCCGCTCAGAGCTTAAGCAACTCTACAGGTGCTGCTAAAGTAGAGGACCCTGCCGGCACACTGCCTGACGCAGTAACCACAAGCCTGTACGTGCCAGTCACACTGTTTGTTGATGAAGACCTTCGCCTACAGCAGCTGGTGCAGGAGACCGCAGCACACCTGTACCAGAACAACAGGTGTGGCACCACATCAAGATTCTTGTTGACAGGTAAGTCTACTCTTTCTTTATTCTGAACATGTAGATACATTGAGTTTCAAATTTCAGTAAAATACTTGTGTAAATCTATCTTTCATTTACAAATAACTACCGATATTTAGAAAATGTGTTTTCCTTTTAACACAAGTCATTGAGTTGGGATCAACTCCATCCATGTCCCAGGCTGCAGTGTGTTGTACATGAGTCTCATTTTGTCCCTAGGTTTGCACACATGTGGGAGTTTGGCCGTCACAGCCATGAGACTGTTCTTGAAAGATTCCTCCTCTCAAGCACTTTGTTGTGTGGGCTGCTGCTATCAACTGATGGAAGAATCTGGTGGGTACAGACTGCTATTAAAATCTGGATGCATTTTAAAAAATTTTGTAATGTCAACTAGAGCGTTTTTCATTTGAAATTGAAAAAAAAAAAGTAAATGCTTTTATTTACACATATACAGAACTAATATGTATTGTAGTTTGACAGTATTGTAGCTATAAAACTAATGAATATACAACATCAATCAGCTTTCAAATGAGTATAAAATTTTAACAACTCATTGCACCATAGAATTAAGAAGTAATATGTTGGTAAATGACTATAGCTTAATTATTCTCACAGGAGAACTGTGTGATTTTCCTTTGAGCTCTTATGGTCAAAGTCTTAAGCTCCATCTTGGGCGTAATGCCAGAAACTTGGCATCACAGTCTATACAGAGGATACAAGACTCCAAACAGGTTAGTGGTTACTTCCCTTCTCATTGTTTCCTTTTCAGTGTTACTTATGACAACATGTGGTTGTTTCCCCTTTGATTCTTGTTTTTGCTGAGACAGAATATTGTTGCTGCCATAAGTTTTCTGACTTTTGAATTTCTTGTTCTATCTTCAGCTCCAGGGCCATGATTTCTACTGGCGGGCGCTCCTGAATATTCTCCTGACAAAGCTCAGAATTCCTGTACCATCCAGGATCTACGGGATGCGAAACCTGATCAAACGGAGTCAGTCTTTCCATGATTATGCCAGAAAGTCAGTTGAAAAGTTGGGGCTCAATTCTGATGTGGTAAGTTAACATTTTTATTTCAAGTACTCTGTGTAGACCTGAATATTGAATTGTTAACACAAAGCCTACTCTAATCATAGTATACTTAACTGATTAGATAGATTTTATTTTGTTCTGTAATCAGCTCCACTTTAATCCCAACTTATCACACATTTTAGGGGACAGAAGATTTAATCATTTTAATCCCAACTTATCCTGTTTCAGTTGACAGAAGATTAATCACTTTAATCCCAACTTATCCCATGTTTTAGGGGACAGAAGATTTAATCACTTTAATCCCAACTTATCCCATGTTTTAAGGGACAGTAGATTTAATCACTTTAATCCCAACTTATCACACATTTTAGGGGACAGAAGATTTAATCACTTTAATCCCAACTTATCCTGTTTCAGTTGACAGAAGATTTAATCACTTTAATCCCAACTTATCCCATGTTTCAGTCGACAGAAGATTTAATCACTTTAATCCCAACTTATCCCATGTTTTAAGTGACAGAAGATTTAATCACTTTAATTTCAACTTATCCCATGTTTTAAGTGACAGAAGATTTAATCACTTTAATCCCAACTTATCCCATGTTTTAAGTGACAGAAGATTTAATCACTTTAATCCCAACTTATCCCATGTTTTAAGTGTCAGAAGATTTAATCACTTTAATCCCAACTTATCCTGTTTCAGTTGACAGAAGATTTAATCACTTTAATCCCAACTTATCCTGTTTCAGTTGACAGAAGATTTAATCACTTTAATCCCAACTTATCCTGTTTCAGTTGACAGAAGATTTAATCACTTTAATCCCAACTTAACTTGTTTCAGTTGACAGAAGAATTAATCACTTTAATCCCAACTTATCCCATGTTTCAGGTGACGGATTAATTAATCACTTTAATCCAAACTTATCCCATGTTCCAGGTGACTGAGGAATTAATCACTTTAATCCCAACTTATCCCATGTTTCAGGTGACGGAGGAATTAATCACTTTAATCCCAACTTATCCCATGTTTCAGGTGACGGAGGAATTAATCACTTTAATCCCAACTTATCCCATGTTTCAGGTGACGGAGGAATTAATCACTTTAATCCCAACTTATCCCATGTTTCAGTTGACAGAAGAATTAATCACTTTAATCCCAACTTATCCTGTTTCAGTTGACAGAAGATTTAATCACTTTAATCCCAACTTATCCTGTTTCAGTTGACAGAAGATTTAATCACTTTAATCCCAACTTATCCTGTTTCAGTTGACAGAAGATTTAATCACTTTAATCCCAACTTATCCTGTTTCAGTTGACAGAAGATTTAATCACTTTAATCCCAACTTATCCTCTTTCAGGTGACGGAGGAATTAATCAGAGAAACAGAAGAAGAGCACAAAGGTGTTCAGCACATGATGGCAGCATTTTTTCAGCTCAAGCTTGTCCTCTCACCTGTGATTGAAGCTTTGATTCTACTTGATCGGCTCCTGTATCTGTTGGAGCAGGTAAGATCATGGCCAAATTTTAGACCAGCTTCTCCTAGAGCAGGTCATGTCATGGCCAAATTTTAGACCAGCTTCTCCTGGAGCAGGCAATGTCATGGCCAAATTTTAGACCAGCTTTTGGAGCAGGTAATATGGCCAAATTTTAGACCAGCTTCTCCCAGAGCAGGCCATGTCATGGCCAAATTTTAGCCTGGCTCCAGAATTGTTTGTTTAGAAACCTCGACAAATGTTTACCTGTAGAAAATTGAATTTTAAAAAATCTTTTTTAACTAAGTAATTTTAGCAGACTATTTTTATTGTAAATAATGTTGTGTTACATTTCAGGAAAAAGTACGGAGTGCCTTTTTGGTGAAGCTTTTTGAACCAGTCACATCACCTCGATGCTATGCTATTATTTCTTTAAAAGAAGATTTGTGATTAATATATGTTGGCATTAATCCATTTAAAACAATCAAAATGAATTAAAATGTGTTATTACTTTGTTGAAGATTATCTGTATTTTAATCACATTACATATGTTAAGAGGCTGTTAAATTGTAATAAACTTAAACTAAGTTCAACAGTTCAAGTTGTATCATCAGTCGTGAGAAGAGAATGATGAACCTTTATTTATTTAAACTAAGTTCAACAGTTCAAGTTGTATCATCAGTTGAGAACAATGAACCTTTATTTATGACAGGAAGGCTCTTGACAAATATTTCCTGCATGTGTCCATATACAGCAGTCATTTGTTTGCACAGCTGTGATATATTAGTGCAGTGTTTGCTGTCTGTGAGAGAGGCTATATTTACAATGTAAAACAAATGCATACAGTGGTACTAGACCTCATGATGATGGTTTCTAAAATAAGTCGTGTCTCAAAACAGAAAATACTAAAGAGAGAAGTATATCAATTCTACAGAGTAACTTGTACTTGAAAAAGACTTTTTATCTATAAGATTTATTAATACACCCATAAGTTTGTTGCAGTTTAATAGCATTTAAAATATGTGAATGTAGATCAGATATTATCTCAGAGACCATGTTGCCATATACATAATGCAGGCATATTAACAAATAAGGGAAATATTGAGTTTGTTTTCATTTTCCTTTTTGCTGTGAAAATTTTAGAAGCATAGCAGCAAAAATAAACAGTATGTACATGTTAGCCTTTTAATTATGCTAAAAACACGAGAAAAGAAATAACTGAATACAATTTTGACTGTTCTTGTTTAGTAAATCCATTCCAAGGGAGGGAATATAAAATAACCTTGCATTATTTCTTTGTTACTTCCCTTGTATTACAATTTGAAAAACTTCCGAAGTGTTCCCCATTACTGAAATTAAAGTCTGTACGTTTAACCCAAATCTTTTTTTGGTAGAAGTGGCAAAGTCTTTAGGGCAGAAAATATATAACGGTATAGTGTTTCTAATTAGTGGCAATCAGGGTGTTAAAAGTCTTACAGAGGATTAACGTCACGAGTGTCTAGATTAGTGCAGGGTATGTCAAAATAGTTTTTCATTTCTACATAGATAATTCCTCTATCAAAATGCCGTTATTTCTTTTTAAAGTTATAAGCGCGTGCATGTACAATACAGGCTATATATTGGGATATATATATATATATATATATATATATATATATATATACATATATATATATACACACATATAGGCGGAGTATTAACCAAATGACATTTGACATCATATAACCAGTTTCACATCAAAGATCTTCACTTAAAAACAAATCCTAGACCGGGCACGGTAGCCGTCGCGTGTCTCGGCCGGCCAGAAATAAAATGTAATTCCAATTAATGTGTTGTCGGCGTCCTGCCCTCGCAGGCGACTACCATCTCTTTTTCAATTTCCATCCCGGCAAGCACGAAAGGAAATCTGGGCTACGATCAAGCAATGCTTAGCGGGTTATTCTTCACTTCAGCAAGATGCATCAACGAAATAAAAATAAAAACTTGTGAAAAAAAAATTGGGAAAGAAATCTCCCAGAAATCTGGCCCAATAAATTTGTTACAAGCCTGCCTAAGAGCCTGTTGTTACACATGGGCGGCCGGTTTAATTAAAGTCTTTGGCCTGCCTTCCTGCCCGTGCACTCTGTCCCAGCCCCGCCCTTTCCGCTAGGTTGACCCCCTGCCCCCGTGTACTTGATCTGTGGGCGAGAGAATTAGAAAGTGAAAATCTCATTGGGGTGAATGACTGGCGCCATAGCTACATCTCCCTGTGGTGGTAGACTGACGTCATAGCTACATCTCAGTGGGGTGGTAGACTGGCGTCATAGCTACATCTCCCTGGAGTGGTAGACTGGCGTCATAGCTACATCTCCCTGGAGTGGTAGACTGGCGTCATAGCTACATCTCCCTGGAGTGGTAGACCGGCGTCATAGCTACATCTCAGTGGGGTGGTAGACTGACGTCATAGCTACATCTCAGTGGGGTAGGTGACTGGCGTCATAGCTACATCTCAGTGGGGTGGTAGACTGGCGTCATAGCTACATCTCAGTGGGGTGGTAGACTGACGTCATAGCTACATCTCAGTGGGGTGGTAGACTGACGTCATAGCTACATCTCAGTGGGGTAGGTGACTGGCGTCATAGCTACATCTCAGTGGGGTGGTAGACTGGCGTCATAGCTACATCTCCCTGGAGTGGTAGACCGGCGTCATAGCTACATCTCAGTGGGGTGGTAGACTGACGTCATAGCTACATCTCAGTGGGGTAGGTGACCGGCGTCATAGCTACATCTCAGTGGGGTGGTAGACTGGCGTCATAGCTACATCTCAGTGGGGTGGGTGACTGGCATCATAGTGTGACCTACTTAGGTCTTTTTGCTTTATGTATATTTAATCTCCTGAGTTATGTATTTGACCTTGGGAGAATTGTCAGTTCACTGGTACGAATCGGTCAACTGAACTCTGTCACGTCAGGTGATTGTATTTTTAATCACTGGCAGATCCTCAACCAATGATCTTGCGACTGTGAGGATCCTTGACAGACCCTCAACCAATAGTCTTAAGACTTTTGAGTTATTTCCCCTTAATCTGAGTTGTATTTAATCTCGGGTTTTTTCATGTCCAAAGGCAGCCAGATTGACCTTTGGACCAGGAGAGTTGTGCCGGTGGTTATGTGTGCCACATTTTGCAGTATTGTAATTATGTGAAATGTTTTATCACCTTTGTATAAGGAATTATGTGGCAAGTTGTAGTATTTCAACTATTTTGTTCTGGTGTATTATTGCACCTTTTTGATTACATCGGTGATAGTTTGACCTTTATGTGGATATCTATTGTTGTAGAGGCAATACGTCTCTTGGTTTTTTGTGGTATTTATGATGCCATTCAGTTGTGTGAAGTATTGATCTTTATTGGTGTATAATATACTAAGCCACAGCTGTGATATATTGTGATTTTCTCAAACTGTAAGTTGGAGTTTTTGAGTTTATTTATTGTACTCTTAGAGTCTGTACTGTTTGAACTTACCAAGTGTCATAATCTTGTACATTTATTAAAAAGGTATTCATAGTTTAAGTCGTGTTGAGTCTCTTCGATTTGTCGTGTTTTACCCCTAGACAGCATTAACGAGCTCACGGCAAGTTGTTGGGATTCCATTAAAGCGACTTCTATCGGTACCATACCAAACGAACCTGGGGTGTCCGCTTCCTCCGCGGCTGTCAGAAGCGGCACATAACAATAGCTACATCTCAGTGGGGTGGTAGACTGGCGTCATAGCTACATCTCCCTGGAGTGGTAGACCGGCGTCATAGCTACATCTCAGTGGGGTGGGTGACTGGCGTCATAGCTACATCTCCCTGGAGTGGTAGACCGGCGTCATAGCTACATCTCAGTGGGGTGGTAGACTGGCGTCATAGTTACATTTCCCTGGAGTGGTAGACTGACGTCATAGCTACATCTCAGTGGGGTGGTAGACCGGCGTCATAGCTACATCTCCCTGGGGTGGATGACTGGCGTCATAGCTACATCTCAGCGGGATGGGTGACTGACGTCATAGTTACATCTCCCTGGAGTGGTAGACTGACGTCATAGCTACATCTCCCTGTGGTGGTAGACTGACGTCATAGCTACATCTCCCTGGAGTGGTAGACCGGCGTCATAGCTACATCTCAGGGAGGTGGGTGACTGGCGTCATAGCTACATCTCCCTGTGGTGGTAGACTGACGTCATAGCTACATCTCCCTGGAGTGGTAGACCGGCGTCATAGCTACATCTCCCTGGGATGGGTGACTGGTGTCATAGTTACATCTCCCCTGGGGTGGTAGACTGGCGTCATAGCTACATCTCCAATGGGGTGGTAGACTGGCGTCATAGCTACATCTCCCCTGGGGTGGTAGACTGGCGTCACAGCTACATCTCCCCTGGGGTGGTAGACTGGCGTCATAACTACATCTCCCCTGGGGTGGTAGACTGACGTCATAGCTACATCTCAGTGGGGTGGTAGACTGACGTCATAGCTACATCTCCCTGGGGTGGGTGACTGACGTCATAGCTACATCTCCCTGGGGTGGGTGACTGACGTCATAGCTACATCTCCCTGGGGTGGGTGACTGACGTCATAGCTACATCTCAGTGGGGTGGTAGACTGGCGTCATAGCTACATCTCCCTGGGGTGGGTGACTGACGTCATAGCTACATCTCCCTGGGGTGGGTGACTGGCGTCATAGCTACATCTCAGTGGGGTGGATGACTGACGTCATAGCTACATCTCCCTGGGGTGGGTGACTGGCGTCATAGCTACATCTCCCTGGGATGGGTGACTGGCGTCATAGCTACATCAAATCCGAATAGAAATAAGATCATAAATTTACTACGGGGTAGGGAAACATGCTAAAATATGGTGAGACTGAGCATCTTTATACTTTACTGAACCAACTTTTAAAAAGTTCTACTTTACTGTATAATGTCTTGTAGACCGTACTATATTTTCTGTCCGTTTATATTTTGTATAATCCGAAGTTCGTTGCTAAGACAATTGTCTAAATCCCAATTCTAATAAACGGTAAAATCGATCAGTCCAGGAGTAAAGTGTTCTGGCACAAATCGATCATTTCAGGAGTGTTCTGGCACAAATCGATCAATCCAAGACCAAAGTGATCTGGCACAAATCGATCAGTCCAGGAGTGTTCTGGCACAAATCGATCAGTCCAGGAGTGTTCTGACACAAATCGATCAATCCAAGACCAAAGTGTTCTGGCACAAATCGATCATTTCAGGAGTGTTCTGGCACAAATCGATCAGTCCAGGAGCAAAGTGTTCTGGCACAAATCGATCATTTCAGGAGTGTTCTGGCACAAATCGATCAGTCCAGGAGTGTTCTGGCACAAATCGATCAGTCCAGGAGTGTTCTGGCACAAATCGATCAATCCAAGACCAAAGTGTTCTGGCACAAATCGATCAGTCCAGGAGCAAAGTGTTCTGGCACAAATCGATCAGTCCAGGAGCAAAGTGTTCTGGCACAAATCTATCAGTTCAGGAGCAAAG